ATTACGATGGTAATGATGATGATGATGATGATCATCATGATGGCGATGATGACTATGACAATGATAATGATGTTGTTAATAACACCAGTGTTTATTTTAACTCTCTGTTTTTAATTATCAATGCATTTAATTTTTAATTATCGTCAGAATAAAGTAATACATTTATGGTGATTAAAAAATGTAATGACGATAATGGTCGAATTGGCAATGTTCATCCTAAAAATGCTGATAATAAATAACAATAGCTAATAACATCATAATGGTAATGATGGTTATTGTGCAATAACAGCAATAGCAACAATAACGACAGTAGCAATGATAATCATGATAATGAAAATAATAAAGCTTACAGTGATAATATTAATAACGTTAATGATATGTTATTAGTATCAACAACACCACCACCATCAACAACAAAGATGATGATAATAATGATAATCATAGTGATATTAATGATATCGATAATGATGATGATAACAATATTAATAATGATGATAATAACAATAATTGTAATAATCATATTGATAAGTCAATAATAATAAGTACGATAATAATATTCATAATCATTATGGTAATAATAATGATAAAAATAATAATAATGATAATAACAATATTAATAATGATAATAATAATAATAACAATAACAACAATACTAACCATGATAACAATAATAAGGATATCATGATGATGATAACTAATAATAATCATTAGCATAACAATGATAACAATAGTAATAACAACAACAATGATAATGATTACTGTAATAATAATGATAATACGAATAATACCAATAATGATAATAATGATAACAGTAACAATAACAACAGGAACTGCAATGAAAATAACAGTTATGATAATAATGATAACAATAATAAATATGATAGCAAAAAGCAACAGTAGACACGATAATAACACCGATAATAACTATAATCCCGATGACGAAAACAACAACACAAAAAAAGACAATAGCAAGAAAATAAACAACAAAAATGGGCGTCTTCGTTTATTGATGTCATATTTGCATGCAGTGGTTTTAATTAATTCAAAAGCACGCCACTCCTGGCTGCTTGGAGGTGGAGGGGAGGGGTAGGTGGAGGGGGGAAGGGAGGGATAGGGAATGGGTGAGGAGGTGAAGGAAGGGAAGGAGGAGGGGAGAAGGGAAGGAGGGAGGGGGAAGGGAGGGAGGGGGAGGGAAGGGAGGGAGGGAGGGAGGGAGGGAGGAAGGAGGGAGGGAGGGAAGGAAGGGAAGGAGGAGGAAGGAAGGGAGGGAGAAGGAGGGGGGAGGGAAAGGAGGGAGGGAGGGAGGGAAGGGAGGAGGAGGAGGAGAATGGAGGGAGGGAGGGGAGGGGAGGAGAATGGAGGGAGGGAGGGGAAGGGAAGGAGGGGGATGAAGGGAGGGAGGGGAGAGGGGAAAGAGAGAGAAGAAGAGGGGGAGGGAGGGGAGAGAGAGGAGGGAGTGATAAATGGGGAGGGGAGAAGGGAGAAGGTGAGTTTGGAGGAAAGTAGAAGAAGAACTGAAGGGAAAAAACTAGGAAGAAGAGAAGAGAATTGAAAATATAAAGAAGAAGAGAGATAGAGAAAGATTAGAAACAGAAAGTACAAAAGGAAAGACGAAGAATAGCGGACAGACAAGATAGCCAGCGAGCGTGACCTCTCCTCGTTCCCTCTCCCGTAGCCTCGACCTCTTTCGACCTGTGCCTCTTCTCCTTTCACTTAGATTAGGTCGAGGGAGTGTGATTATATGTTGCGGAGACTGAGGGAGAGTCTGGTGCAAAGTGCAAGCTCGAGAAATATGAGGAGTGACTGGAAGGAGAGGAAAAGGAGAGGCGCTGCGTCGGGGAAAAGAGAGAGGGAGAGAGCGAAATGTAGGAAAAAAGGGGTGATTATATTTATATAATGTGTGTGTGTGTGTGTGTGTTGTGTGTGTGTGTGTGTGTGTGTGTGGTGTGTGTGTGTGTGTGTGTGTACGTGTGCGTATGGGTGTGCGTGTACGTGTTCGTGTGCCTGTGTGTATGCGTGTGTGTGAGTGCTTGTTCTATATGCCTGCGTGTTTTGCCCACGTATATAAATAAACACACGAAACGATATACAACAAGAAAAAAAGGAACACACAAAACTCTAAAAAACAGACGAGTTGCAGAGTCCAC